TGTTTTAAAAACCATCCTTAAACGTAAATTAGGTGTAACCGCAATAAGGGACCAAAATAGAGAATTCCACTCCCCCATGAAACCGCCCAAAATTAATAAATTTTTCACACCTTCACGGTCCCATTCTGACTCCTTTTCCCCGCCAAATCAATCACACGAACAGAGTTCCTCGCTTTCGTTTGCTACTCAGAGAAGAGAGCAAAATAAGCTTTCTAAACCAACTATTAGTCCAAAATTACCTTGCTTGTTTTGTGAAGACGCTGGACATTTTTCGTCCAATTGTTTAAAATTTTCAGATATGAATTCCAGACACTCCCGACTCAGAGCCCTTAAAAGATGTTTTAGGTGCCTGAAACCAAATCACTTTGCTAAAAACTGTCCTTCGCCCAGTCAATGCTCTCAATGTCACGATAATCACCCCAGACCATTATGTCCTACCATTTCGAAAAAGGGTAACCAACAAACTAACAATATTCAATCCACATCCACCTCTAATAAATACACTCCAATACACACTAACCAAATTTCCCCATTATTCCCGAATTTTAACACACCTGTTTCATATCCCCCTTACCCAACTTTCCAACCGTACCCGGGTTTTAACCCTTATCTTTACAACATGCACACCCCATCCCCAATCCCTATACAAAATTTAAGCATTAAGCCAGCAACGACTCCACAAGCAACGGAAATGGAAAACAACACGAAAGACAACCATCAAATCAACGTTTCTACCAGCACAGTGCAGAACAATTCCAACCCAATATTGCTAAAATGCGTTTGTGCAAAAATATTTAATCCTGCCTACCCAGCACTAAATAAAGAATTAATTATACTTCTTGACGACGCAAGCACAAATTCATACATCCGCACAGAAGAAGCTAGGTCCTTGAAATTGACACTAGAAGAAACAACCATGAATCTGGGAGTATTCAACAACCCAAAATTTAAGCCAACTCAAACTTATTCAACTACATTTGGAATCCAATTGCTGAATGGTCGCATCTTACAGGTCAAGGCTAATACATTAGACCACCTCACCCACAGTACCTCGTACTTACCCTTTAGCCCTGAGGTACTTCAATACACCGATTTAACACCCGCCATTAAATCTACCTGCCCAACTATTTTATTAGGTAGTGACTTTTATTACGAATTAGAACCCACTCCCATTTGCCGTTTGCCTTCGGGCTATCACTTGATCCAAACGCTACTCGGCCCAATAGTTGCCGGAAAGTCCTTTAAACACACATACCAAAAAATGTATAACACGATGACTAATTTTTGTGTCCAAAGCACTCCGTTCGAGCCAAATCCCGACTTTTTTACACTAGAAGGTATTGGCATAACTGACCCTCCACCTGCACTTACGGAGGATGAAATTTTCCTAAAATTTAAAAAAGAAATCCGCTTTATTAACAATCGATATGAGGTAAAATTCCCATTCAAAGCAGATCCTTCCACAATTTCACTGCCATCTAACTATGGCCTTTGTTACGGACGACTTCGTTCGGCTTTAAAAATTTTAAATAAAGACACTGCTTTACTAACAAAATATAATAACATTATCCAAGAACAATTGAAACTTGGAATTATTGAACCGGTAATAGACCCCAGCCAATATTCATCACCCCTCCATTATCTCCCCCATCAGCCCGTAATTACTCACAAACTTCGTATCGTATACGATGGATCAGCGCACATTAAAAAAGAAAATTCGCTGAATGACACATTAGAACCCGGCCCCGTAATTCTTCCAGATTTAGTCGGAATTTTACTCCGATTTCGAATCCCACCAAATTGTAATTATAACAGACGTAATGAAAGCGTTTCTCCAAATTTCCGTCCACCCCTCACACCGAGACGCAACCCGATTCATTTGGCTTAAATCGATTGAAGAGCCTTTGAATAATAATAATTTACAAATTTATCGCTTTACTAGAGTCCCTTTCGGCCTATGCTGCTCTCCATTCCTATTGGGAGCTACTATTTTACACCACCTTTCACAACACCCTTCAGCCCTTTCAGACGAAATTAGCAATAACACATACGTTGACAATATTGTCTTTTCCTCTCAAAATGTCCCAGAAGCTCAAACTAAAGTAATTGCGGTAAACGAGCTATTCCAAAAAGCAAACATGGAACTACAAGAGTTCGCTAGTAATTCCAAAGAAGCTCTTGATCCTATCCCCGAGGCAAAAAGATTAAAAGGACCCTCACAAAAAATTCTTGGTCTTTGTTGGAACACCGATTCCGATTCATTTGAAATGAAAATAAAACCATTCCCTCCAACACCCATACTAACTAAAAGAAAAATTCTAGCCTTTATAGCGTCACACTTTGACCCTTTAGGCTTACTTACACCGCTAATTTTACCTTTAAAAATATTTATGCAATCCCTATGGGAAAATAAACGTAAATGGGACGACCAACTTCCAGTGGATTTGGTTGAAAAATGGAATACTCTATTAAAAGAATGGACTGATGAAACACCAATTAACATTCCCCGACGACTCTCCAATGCAAATCAACACCAACAATTCCAACTACATTGTTTTACAGACGCTTCTGAAGCAGCAATGTGCGCAGCTATATTTATGAGAATTGAAAACTTGCCTGATGGTAAAATGGACGTGAGACTTATTTTTAGTAAAACGAAAGTAAAGCCTATAAAAACGAAACGGACCATCCCCCAATTAGAATTAATCGCAATTTTAATGGGCACAAAAGCCCTTCAATTTGTGTATAAACATTTAGAGAATTTAAATATTGACCCAATAATGAATCTTTGGAGCGACTCTTCCGTTGCTATATCGTGGGTAAATACTAAAATACACATCCGTGACATTTTCGTGTCCAATAGAATTAAAAGTATTCAAAAAATCCCAAATTTGATTATTCGCCACGTTTCCGGTCAAGAAAACCCATCCGACTTAGGAACACGCGGAATTTCCTCAGTAAAGGCTTTATCCTCCAACCTAATGTGGTGGAACGGCCCGCAATGGCTCTCACTCCCATCCACCTGTTGGCCAGACAATAAAGAGGTCAAGCCATTTCTCTCTAACGAATATAAAGGGCCAAAACAAGAGGTAACAGAGAACCCTATATTCGCGTTTGCCATTACCCAACACCAATCAATTTTTGATCTAACACACCACTCTAGACTATATAAAGCGTTGCGCTGTATAGCGTATGTTATTCGTTTTCTCTCCCATTTAAAACCAAAATCCAAAATATTTCCAATGCTTAAAGAAAAATACCCGTCACTGAAAATTAGTATAAAAGAATATAGACGTGCGCTTTCGAGTGTTCTTCAACAAGAACAGCGCTTATTTCCACCCACTGATAAAAATAATGAATCACTAGGAATTTTTACCGACAACCAAAATATACTGAGGTCAAAAGGTAGACTAGGAAAATCTTCATTACCAATAAATACTATGGAACCGATTTACCTCCCGTCAAATTCTCATTTAACCGGACTTATTATTTACGAAACTCATCTCATACACCACCATTCCAGCCCTTTACTTACGTTGTCGATAATAAGACGACAGTATTGGATTCCTAAAGGTCGACGCATTGTTGAACGAATACTTTTTAAATCCTGCCTCCCGTGTAGGAAGTTTCAAGTTAAACCATTCGACCCACCCCCGTTCCCTCAATTACCCATTGAACGTGTATCTCCTTCCCGGCCGTTTTTAGCCACAGGCCTTGATTATTGCGGTCCACTACACATAAGGACCGATAAAAAATTTCCAAAAACCTCAACTACAAATACACCGAAGACAAAAAAGTTCTGGATTGTTATATGGGTTTGTTTGTCCACAAGAGGTATTTCCCTCGATTATGTGCCCGATTTAACTAGTGAATCCTTCCTACTCGCTTTTAGGCGATTTTGTGCCAAATTTTCACCTCCTACAACAATTTATTCAGACAGCGCACCAACGTTTATTTCTTTTAAGAAATTTTTTGAAAATTCTTGTAAAACCCATCCCATTGTTTGGCATTTAAGAGTACCGTACGCCGCATGGCGTGGAGGTTTTTATGAACGGCTTATAGCCTTGGTAAAATTTCATTTGCGTAGGTCCTTAGCAAAAGGACTTTTTCCACATATTTCCAAATTTGACAACTTCCTAACCATACTTTCAGAGATTGAAAGTTGTGTAAATTCGAGACCAATTAGTTTTTGTAGTTCCAATCCAGCGGACCCCCTCCCACTCAGGCCTATTGATTTTATGCGGCCTTTAGGCTATAACCTCCACAATTGGCCGTTACTGATAAATAAAGAAACCGAGAATGATCCAGATTATTCCCCACGAAGTGATCCCTCAACTTTAGAAAATTTATGGAAAAGTTTGTCAAAAACGACAAGGATTTTTTGGGTACGGTGGCGGGATGATTACCTCCTTTCCCTCAGGGAGAGATTCCACAAAATTTCCTCCCAAAATCATCGTTGGCCTCAAAAAGGAGAGCTGGTATTAATTCATAGTGAGTCACCTAAAGCTCTCTGGCCTATTGCTATTATAATCAAAGTACACTTTAACGAAGGACAATTCCCAGACACAGCACTAGTAAAAACTGCTCATAGCGGAAACACTCTGCTTAGATCCGTATCTCACTTATATCCATTGGAAACGACAGAAGAAGTAGAAAAAAGACTTTCACAGGAAGAACCAAACATTACACAACAAAAAAGGGAAGCAAATGAGAGAAAACTTCGATCCCCGACCAAAGTTCTACAACTCCGGAATAGAGCCATTTTTCATTAAATTGTTTTTTACATTAACTTTTAGTTTTAATTTTTACAATTTTATTTCCCATCTTTTAATTTCTGTAAAACACTATTCAACTTCCCGGGGGGAGGGCGCTTGAGCGAACTTCATAAACAAACTAATTTACGCCTACCCCATCATTTTAAAAATTTTTTAGTAGTTTTAATTTTTGTAATTAAATTTTAAATTTTTAATTTAAATTCTTTTTCAGTTCTCTTCTAATTAATGGGTAGTCTTATTTCCCTTGAACTTATTAACGTTGAACTACAATTTATTTCCGAGCCTGATAACTACAATTGGCTTAACTGGAATTTGTTGGCTTTTGTTCTGCCAATCTTTGCCATCATTTTAATTTTAATTATTTGCTTAATCAAACAACACCACCCAAAACGAAACACTCAACGGTGGACACCTCCGCCGACTTTTCTCGTAATTTTGTTATTTATCCTTATCGCTCTTGTTAGCGACACTAACTCATTTCCAGGCCGTAAATCTCCGTTGCGGAAGAAACCCCCTCTTTTTAAACGCCTAGGAAAACCTATTGCTAAAGGTACTATTCCAATTTTAGCCACCTCAGCTGTTTATCTAGGTTTCGAATCCTTCGCCCAATTTTTAACTGAACATCCCGACCTTTCGGTAGCGGTTCTATCCGTTTTCGGCTGCCTGTCCGTCCTTGTATTACTGTTAATAGTAAAAGTAGCCATCTTCCTATTCCATTTGTTCAAGGGCAAAAACGCCCGACCGCAACCTCCTATTGAATTACAAGACTTAAATTCCAACATTCAGGAGCTCGTTAACCGTTCCAACCCACGACACTAAGCCCCCTTTAATTTAATAAGTTAAATTCAAATTTTAATAATCCCTTTTCATTATTTAAGATAAATTATTTAAAATTTTACATTATTATGTCCAAAATTTCCCAAAAAGACATTGCCCACATACAACGTTATTTAAAATTTATAAACATTCCTAAGGATAAATCTAAAATTCCCTTAAAAGATAACCGATCGCAACAGGCTGAAACAACAGACTCGACTATGGAATGTGATCCGACTCCAACAATTGGCATTGCGACTACAGAATCCTCAGCACCGCCAACAACAGAAACTGCCCCAACCCATCCACGTGTTCAACCGCCTTCACAACCTGCTGCCTCTCACGAAACAACGGATGACGAACCTGCTGCCGTCGACATCCCGCTGCCTGATGGTCCGCCACCTTTGGCCGCTCTCAAACTACCACAACGCCTCAACATTGCCTCACGAGCGCGCATTCTGGAATCCGGCACCATCGAAGCCCTGCCCACCCGTGAGCACACCATAAAAAAGAATTTAATAAGAAAATGGGAGAGGACAAAAAATAAAAGAATTCACAAAAGAATTACAATTTTGAAACCCATTCCCCTTAATTCGATTCAAATTAACCCAGTACCAATCTTAACTCCCGCACCTCCACTATTGCTATTCCAACTTATTAATGTCCAACCATTTTGCGGCCCGGGAGTGTCGCGTCTCAACGCGAATTATAAATTTAATTAAAAATATAAATTTTATTGAAATTACTCATCCACAAAACAATTTCCCAGACTTTATCTAACATAATCATCTTAAAGTTTTTTATGTTCGCTGGCCTTATTTAAATGACTTTCACGTTCCTACCAGCGGTTTTTTCCCTTCAATCACTTTTGTTTTAGTGCCTTCTTTTTACACACATTTTTCTTCCTGCTTTTTAATCAATTGTAATTTTTTAAATTAAACGAAAATAAATATTTGTATTTGTGTGTGGAAGTTAAAATTTAAGTATTTTTAATTAGCGGGTTTTGAGCTAATCCGCTAAAGCTCAGCCGGTGACCTGTTCCGGACTATTTCCTAATTTGCCTGCGTTCTGCGGAATTGACACATACGGACTTCCCCCTTTTTAAGAAATTTTATTATTTTAATTTTTAATTCGCAATGTCCGCACCTTATCGTGACCAGCTCACTCTCCTACACGAGCAAGGTCTAGAAATTGTTGGTAATCAAAAGACTTTTCCCCTTCCACCCGATACGGTAAGCTTATCACAATTTCATTCCGACACCCGAAAATTGTTGAGCTCTTTAGAATTAGAGCTAGAATATGTTTCCGAAGTAATTTCGGATATTTCCTCCACACATGAAAAATGGATGTCGGTCAGAACAAATATGACCGGAGCGGAGCGTTAACTGAGCCTAACGCTAAACTAATGAGCAATAATAGAATTGTATAAGTCTAAATAAAAATCGTTGAGTTGGAAGAAATAATGCGCTATAATAAAATTTATTTGATTAAATAAACCTTGAAATGGAAGAAGATATCAGAAATTATATAAAACTAATGAGCAATAATAGAATTGTATAAGTCTAAATAAAAATCGTTGAGTTGGAAGAAATAATGCGCTATAATAAAATTTATTTGATTAAATAAACCTTGAAATGGAAGAAGATATCAGAAATTATATAAAACTAATGAGCAATAATAGAATATTATAAGTCTAAATAAAAATCGTTGAGTTGGAAGAAATAATGCGCTATAATAAAATTTATTTGATTAAATAGACCTTGAAATGGAAGAAGATATCAGAAATTATATAAAACTAATGAGCAATAATAGAATTGTATAAGTCTAAATAAAAATCGTTGAGTTGGAAGAAATAATGCGCTATAATAAAATTCATTTGATTAAATGAACCTTGAAATGGAAGAAGATATCAGAAATTATATAAAACGAATGAGCAATAATAGAATTGTATAAGTCTAAATAAAAATCATTGAGTTGGAAGAAATAATGCGCTATAATAAAATTTATTTGATTAAATAGACCTTGAAATGGAAGAAGATATCAGAAATTATATAAAACTAATGAGCAATAATAGAATTGTATAAGTCTAAATAAAAATCGTTGAGTTGGAAGAAATAATGCGCTATAATAAAATTTATTTGATTAAATAAACCTTGAAATGGAAGAAGATATCAGAAATTATATAAAACTAATGAGCAATAATAGAATTGTATAAGTCTAAATAAAAATCGTTGAGTTGGAAGAAATAATGCGCTATAATAAAATTTATTTGATTAAATAAACCTTGAAATGGAAGAAGATATCAGAAGTTATATAAAACTAATGAGCAATAATAGAATTGTATAAGTCTAAATAAAAATCGTTGAGTTGGAAGAAATAATGCGCTATAATAAAATTTATTTGATTAAATAAACCTTGAAATGGAAGAAGATATCAGAAATTATATAAAACTAATGAGCAATAATAGAATTGTATAAGTCTAAATAAAAATCGTTGAGTTGGAAGAAATAATGCGCTATAATAAAATTTATTTGATTAAATAAACCTTGAAATGGAAGAAGATATCAGAAATTATATAAAACTAATGAGCAATAATAGAATTGTATAAGTCTAAATAAAAATCGTTGAGTTGGAAGAAATAATGCGCTATAATAAAATTTATTTGATTAAATAAACCTTGAAATGGAAGAAGATATCAGAAATTATATAAAACTAATGAGCAATAATAGAATATTATAAGTCTAAATAAAAATCGTTGAGTTGGAAGAAATAATGCGCTATAATAAAATTTATTTGATTAAATAAACCTTGAAATGGAAGAAGATATCAGAAATTATATAAAACTAATGAGCAATAATAAAATTGTATAAGTCTAAATAAAAATCGTTGAGTTGGAAGAAATAATGCGCTATAATAAAATTTATTTGATTAAATAAACCTTGAAATGGAAGAAGATATCAGAAATTATATAAAACTAATGAGCAATAATAGAATTGTATAAGTCTAAATATAAATCGTTGAGTTGGAAGAAAAATTCGCTATGATAAAATTTATTTGATTAAATAAACTTTGAAATGGAAGAAGATATCAGAAATTATATAAAACTAATGAGCAATAATAGAATTGTATAAGTCTAAATAAAAATCGTTGAGTTGGAAGAAATAATGCGCTATAATAAAATTTATTTGATTAAATAAACCTTGAAATGGAAGAAGATATCAGAAATTATATAAAACTAATGAGCAATAATAGAATTGTATAAGTCTAAATAAAAATCGTTGAGTTGGAAGAAATAATGCGCTATAATAAAATTTATTTGATTAAATAGACCTTGAAATGGAAGAAGATATCAGAAATTATATAAAATTAATGAGCAATAATAGAATTTTATAAGTCTAAATAAAAATCGTTGAGTTGGAAGAAATAATGCGCTATAATAAAATTTATTTGATTAAATAAACCTTAAAATGGAAGAAGATATCAGAAATTATATAAAACTAATGAGCAATAATAGAATTGTATAAGTCTAAATAAAAATCGTTGAGTTGGAAGAAATAATGCGCTATAATAAAATTTATTTGATTACATAAACCTTGAAATGGAAGAAGATATCAGAAATTATATAAAATAATGAGCAATAATAGAATTGTATAAGTCTAAATAAAAATCGTTAAGTAGGAAGAAATAATGCGCTATAATAAAATTTATTTTATTAATTAAACCTTGAAATGGAAGAAGATATCAGAAATTATATAAAACTAATGAGCAATAATAGAATTGTATAAGTCTAAATAAAAATCGTTGAGTTGGAAGAAATAATGCGCTATAATAAAATTTATTTGATTAAATAAACCTTGAAATGGAAGAAGATATCAGAAATTATATAAAACTAATGAGCAATAATAGAATATTATAAGTCTAAATAAAAATCGTTGAGTTGGAAGAAATAATGCGCTATAATAAAATTTATTTGATTAAATAAACCTTGAAATGGAAGAAGATATCAGAAATTATATAAAATAATGAGCAATAATAGAATTGTATAAGTCTAAATAAAAATCGTTGAGTTGGAAGAAATAATGCGCTATAATAAAATTTATTTGATTAAATAAACCTTGAAATGGAAGAAGATATCAGAAATTATATAAAACGAATGAGCAATAATAGAATTGTATAAGTCTAAATAAAAATCGTTGAGTTGGAAGAAATAATGCGCTATAATAAAATTTATTTGATTAAATAAACCTTGAAATGGAAGAAGATATCAGAAATTATATAAAATAATGAGCAATAATAGAATTGTATAAGTCTAAATAAAAATCGTTGAGTTGGAAGAAATAATGCGCTATAATAAAATTTATTTGATTAAATAAACCTTGAAATGGAAGAAGATATCAGAAATTATATAAAACTAATGAGCAATAATAGAATATTATAAGTCTAAATAAAAATCGTTGAGTTGGAAGAAATAATGCGCTATAATAAAATTTATTTGATTAAATAAACCTTGAAATGGAAGAAGATATCAGAAATTATATAAAATAATGAGCAATAATAGAATTGTATAAGTCTAAATAAAAATCGTTGAGTTGGAAGAAATAATGCGCTATAATAAAATTTATTTGATTAAATAAACCTTGAAATGGAAGAAGATATCAGAAATTATATAAAACTAATGAGCAATAATAGAATATTATAAGTCTAAATAAAAATCGTTGAGTTGGAAGAAATAATGCGCTATAATAAAATTTATTTGATTAAATAAACCTTGAAATGGAAGAAGATATCAGAAATTATATAAAATAATGAGCAATAATAGAATTGTATAAGTCTAAATAAAAATCGTTGAGTTGGAAGAAATAATGCGCTATAATAAAATTTATTTGATTAAATAAACCTTGAAATGGAAGAAGATATCAGAAATTATATAAAACTAATGAGCAATAATAGAATATTATAAGTCTAAATAAAAATCGTTGAGTTGGAAGAAATAATGCGCTATA